ATCCGCAGGTTGAAGCCCAGCATCACTGGCACCTGTTCCTATTGTAGGCAATCCATAGCCAACGTAGATTCGAGCTCAGTATACTCCAGAGGTAGCTAGAGCGTTGAGGCTCTCATTACAGCTACGGAGTTGATTATCTGACAACAACGTTGTTCGATAAGATTACTAATACATTTCATACAACAAACTTTTTGTCATCTGCTAGAAGCTCCGTTTATGCTCAAACAATATGTCATCAACTACTAAAATAGGATTTGAGTTTACTTTTTGTGCCGCAAAGTGTTGAATGTCGCATTTTCATCCCCAGCCGATTTTAAAAAAGGAGTGAGTCACGCCTTTTAAAGTGATGTCCAATTGTGACGTTGCGCCTTAAAGTGATGTCCAATTGTGACATCGCTACTTAAAGTGATGTCCAATTGTGACGTCGCTCCTTAAAGTGATGTCGATAATTGTGAATGTGTGTCGCCGAACACTAAAGTGTTTCCGATTTTTTTGTGAAAAAAGATTAGTCGTGTTTGTTAAAATACGTTACCACGAGAAGAGTGATATTCTCCCATCAAATAAAAGGGGATTACGGGTGATGGGAGAACGCGTGCAAGTTTTGTGCTGAGATGGCTGGCGCGCAAACACACAACAGTTGCGGGTGTTCCTGCGGCTACCGGTAATGTTCAACCAACATTATTCGTACGGTACCACTTCCGTCTGAGATGCAGTACCAGATTATTGACATTGAGTGGCAGTGACGTCATGTCAATGATTCAGATTGAGATTGATTCAGATTTCCGTGAATGAACTGAGTCCAGAGTGAGTCCTGACAAATTTCAAAAAGCGGGTCCTGAAACGGCCGGGAACTGTGGTCCGATTAGTCATCATTCCCCATTTTTTCTGATGACGGACACCCGAAAAGTTGGACCGGAAAAGTCATATCATCAGTCATCGGTTTCAGGTTTGCGTGGAAGTGGCCTTTGAACCAGCCTAGAAGAAGAGATAGGAATGGGTCACAACAAAAGTTATAGAGTCTCTCAGAAAGCCACAGAAAGGAGTGACGTAAGAGTTAGGCCTAAAGCTATGTCTGTACCCCCAAAGGGTCTAATCTAGTTCCAAGGTCACTCCAAGGTCATTACACCCTTCCCTTCTATGATCAGAGCCAGTCGATTGATCATACACTACAGTCACAAGGCGTCCTTACATCCACTTGATCTTCCATACAACTTCAGAGGTGGTTCTTGATGCAATGGGCGATGCAAGTATATCATCCATCAGACTCGATGGAACGGCACAAGCCGTCTGATGTTGATCCTCTCACGGATTGCATTTGTGCGCTGAATTTCCACTGTACCATTAGTGTAAACATTTGTAATAGGATACGGACCTCTGTATTTCGGATCCAACTTTCTTCCATCAGTATTCTTGATCAAACTTTCTCCACCAATTCTGTAATCAAACTCTTTTCGCTTTGCATTCTGTCTCCTCAAGTTTTCATTGATCTTATACTGTCTCTTTTGCTGCATAGAAAGTAGATCAACAATCACAGGAATGTTTAGTAGCATGTCACGATGAAACGCAGTCTCACCAGGAGTATTGTTCATCAAAGCTGTCGATACAGCACATCTCATTGCATGGTTACAAGCAGCAAGAGCTCGCTTGACTTCTTCAACAGCAACTTAAAAGTTTGGAGCGGCATCATTGTATCTGGTGCGCAAAATGTTTGCCACTGTCAAATGCATTCTTTCAAAGATCGCATTTGCGGTCGCATTCTTGCTAGTGGTTCCGCCATCATGGATTCCCCAAGTAGCGAGTTTCGCTTGGAAGGCTTCGCCAATGAATTTGCCTCCTTGATCGTGAATACATTTGTATGGTCTCGGATATCGTGACAACCACAGCATTTCAAACACGCTTGCTATGTGTGTTGCAGTTTTATTCTTGATAAAAGCAAGTTCAGTGAGATTTGTCACGGGATCAATACAAGTCAACGCGTTGAATTCAAGTTCTCTACCATTGACGTCAATTTTCCATGGACCAATCAAATCGACTGCAACGGAGAACCATGGAACCAAATCCGCGTGTCGTTCAGGTAACTGTCCGTATTGAACATTCGCCGCTTTATTGAGTTGGCAAATTTCACAATTGAATCGTTCAATTCGTTGCTTCAATCCAGGAGAATAGAATCGCTTTGCAATCGCAGCATACATTGACGTTTTTCCTCTGTGTCCAAGCACAAGGTGATACCAGGTGATCACATCATCAACCAAACTCAAAGGTAAGTAAATTCTCCAATCGTCTTGACATGCAGGATCGATTTGATAGGTGATGATGAGACGCTCGTCAATTGTCATGATCTGGTAGTGCTGTGCATCGCGTTGAGCTTGTTGCATGAGCAGTTGATCTTGAGTTTGATGTTGTTGAATGTTTGGCATTGTGATTGGGTTTGGCATCGTTTGTAGAGGAGGATGATTCAAAAAGGACTCTTCTATTTCAATGTCGTCAATGGTCAGGTGTTCATGAATATCTCCATCTTGGCAACAGGAGAACTGACATCGGAAGGTACTGTTGAACTTGGCTTCTGTTGGTGGCGTAATCAAATCATTTTCTTTTACGAGAACATTATCTTCAAACGTGTAGATTTTGTCTTCGGGATCAACCGAAACCTGTAATTTATCAAACGCAATCAATTTACCCTTATTTGGACTCTTCCCTTCAGACGGCTTCTCCATTCGCGGAAGCCGAGAGAAGCAGTCGGCAATTGCATTATCTTTTCCAGGCAAATAGACGAAATTGGGACCAAATTCTTCAACAAACATACGCCAACGAAGAACTCGTTGTGTGTTCAACGTTCGCATGGTGAGAATTTTATGATCAGTAAAAATAGTTAACTTGGCACCATATATCATAGACCGAAATTCTTTCAAACAATGTACAACAGCCAACATTTCTTTTTCCATTACCAAGTAATTGCGTTGCGCAGCATTGAGCTTACAACTCCAGTAGGCGACGGGTTTACCTTCTTGCATGATGACAGCGCCCATCTGGTAGTCAGACGCATCAGTATAGATTTCAAAGGGTTTGTTTGGATTGGGGTAGCGCATCATTATATCGCTAGCCATGAGAGCTTTCATCTCAGCGAAAGCTTTTGCACATTCATCAGTCCATTCAAACATTCCTTTGCCTGTGAGCTCTGTTAGGGGTTTGAGAAGATGAGATCGACGCGGCCACATGTTCGAATGTGGCGGTAAAAGGTAACACAATTCTGCTGACATCTTGAGGATGGCATCAATCTTTTTCTTCCACGGTTTGACGCCTTCAGGAGTCAACCAATGGCCCAAGAAATCAGTTTCTTGGACACACCACTCGCATTTCAAGCGATTGATTTTTAAACCAGCAGCTTGTAGTCGCTGCAATACTTCTTGGATCAAGGCCATATGTTCTTCGTAGGAATTGGAGAACAGGCCAACATCGTCAATATAAATTTTGACACCTTTTTGTTTTAGGTCGCGTAGAGTTTTTTTCGATGTAGTACTGGGCAAAATCAGGAGCCGGTTTCAATCCCATAGCCATCCGGTTGTATTGGTACAGACCGTACTCGTGCAAAGTTTTTTGCTCGGCTCATCCAATTCAAAAGAATAATACATCATTGTGAGATCAAGTTTTGTGAAGTACTTGTAGCCAGAAGGACGCACAACAATATCATCAATCAAAGGTAAGGGTTATACTTTACGCTTGATATTTTTGTTCAGCTGTCTGAGATTGCTGATCCATCGCACCCTACCGTCCTTTTTTGGAATGATGAATGTTGGCGACGCCCATTCTGACGGGCCTGTTTGTTCAAGAACTCCAATTTTTTGTAGATGTTTCAATTCTTTGAGAAATGCAGGTTCATGTTGCTTCGGCACAGAATATGCTTTTGAAAACACGGGTTGCGCATTCTCAATGAGCTCCAAGTGAACCTTCTCATGCTTGTAGTGGCCGAGTTGACCATCGAAAATCTCGTCTGTATTGTTCAACGCTTGAGCCAAAAGTTTGCGCTGATCTTCAGTTATATGTTGTTGCTTGGCAGCAATTTCAGCACCTGAAGTAGCTTCATATTTTGCATCCATGATAAAGGCATCATCAGCATCATCATCATCGTAGATATCTAAAACATCGCGATCCAATGCCATTGAGTAGTTGGTGTGATTTTGCCAATGATCTGGAGCCTTCATTGGAATGAACTTGTCTATCCATTTGACTTGTCCGTTTGAAAATTGGATATCCAAGCCCATTTCGTGTAGAAGGTTGCGTCCGATTATGATGTCATGTGGACATGTTGGCAAATCGAAGACATTCGCCTTGACACCGTCGACACCTGAAATTCTGCGGTGTTTGTCAAATTTGGGAAAGACTCCGTCTTGCAATTTCACACATTTGTCAGAAACGAAATCACCAGCAACAGTAGTACACTTCTTCGCATTTTGAATACTTTGTACCTTAGCATCTTTAGGAATCGCCCTTGAATTGATCATCGTATGCGACCCCCCTGAATCAAATAATACTCGTAAAACTTTTCCACTTTCAATTCCTCCAATTGTCTTCCAAATCACCAAAGATGTAGGTGAAAGTCGCTTTTTTCTCATAGAATCCTCCATAGAATTTACGTCTTGTTTTGGAGTAGGTATACGAAGCAAAGAATCATTCAAAAGAAACTCCTTTTCATCTTTAGCCATGGGACCATTTTCATCATCAAATTTTTCCAATGCTGAAAGAAACGAAGACAAATCAGGTTCCAGAAATGGGTTAGGAAGCTTAGGAAGCTTTGTTAGTTTACGAGTACTTTTAGGTCAGTAATGCTCTTCCTGAAAGGAAAATGGCGAATCCTCATCATAGGAAAAATGTTCGTGCGCCTCCTGTTCTTCAGGATAATTCTCTTCTTGTTCATAGTTGTATTGATCATTCCATTGCTGATTTTCTTCAGCTTGATAATATTGTTCCTGATGCTGGTACTGCTCGGCACTTGGCATTCCGCCATAAGACATTCCGTCTTGGTTCCATTCCGGAACGCTGCATTCCGCAGCAAAGCTTTCAGCTTCTTGATTGTAGTGCGACTCAGCATAGAAATTTTGACTGTTTTGTTGATGTGATTGGCCTCTGCCTTGATAGTTTCGTCCTGGCTGAAAACGACCAGATTGGGAGCGTCCACTGCGCTGGCCATTGAATCCACGGCCTCTGCCACCATTGTTGGGGTGTCTTGGTTGAAATCGTCCTTGGTTTTGTTGCTGGGAATTGCCTCCACGTTGAAAATTTTGTGAAATCCCTTGAGAATATCTTGGAGAGCTCGAGGGTCTTGGATATGGTTGATAACCATTGCTTGGTTGACCATGACCACGACCACCACAAAAACGATTGTGGTGAAGGCCTCTACCGCCTGTGCAATTACCAGGTCGAGTTCGACGGGGAGAACTTTCCTGCATAAGTCTCTTTCTGTCCACTGTTCTTTTCTTCTGTGTCATCCAACTGACAATATCCTTCCACGTAATATTGTGGTCGTTCGCCGGATCCTTCCGCGAATTGATAAAATCTCCCTGCCTATCAATTGGAAAGGAGCAAAACAGTGCCAGCTTTCTCTTCCGAATTTGCCCCGGATCGTTCTCATCGTTCATGTTGGAACAATTTCCAGGAAGCATATCATGATACATAAATAGGGTTTTCAAGCGATTTGCATGAATTCCAATTTCAGTATTATATGGTTTGCGAATGTGGTTGGAAGTATCAACGAGATACATGTTTGCCTGATACTTCGGATTCTCGCCCGTGTATTCGCAAATGAATTCACCAACAGAAACTTCAAGTCTTGAACTGAGTTCCCATGAGCATCAGAAATCCTCTGATAGGTCATGCGCGGTTCAGCAGTGAGGAATTGCTTGAACAAGGCCTTCTTTTGACGACCCTGACTGAGTCCCCACTCTGAGGAGATGTTGCGAAAGGATTGAATGGACCTGAGGATTGGTTCAACATTCTTTCCACTTGCACCATTCCAAACTTCAACCTTTCGCTTGCGCTCAAAGTTGTTGTCGAAGAAACTGACATACTGCATCACTGGATTAGTGACTTCCCTGGCCTTGTATGCCAAT